TCTTTTTCCACCACTGTCAGCAGCAATAGAATAACATTATTTCGTCGTTTTACGCATACAAAAGCAATTAGACACATTGTGCATGTATGTGTGCCGACCGTTCCTTCACTTGAATAAAATCATACGAGCTGAGTTTACTCATTTGCGTCTTTGCTTATAATCGTATTGGCTCATTGCTGAGCCGAAGTAACAGACACCCGAAACACCGAAAACGAACGAGCATGAATAAACTCAGCCAGAATAAAAGAAGGCAAAGCTTGAGTGATTTAAAATCATCTGGAAATATGTGCGCATGCAAGTGTGTATCCGTCAACGCCGAGTCAGTTTAATCGGGTGATTTTTTTGTGTAAACTTATTTGCAATCACCCAATGCCGTTCTCTGATACTGACTGAGTACGGGTATAAGTAGAGTCGCGTCCCCAGAAGCGACTCGCACGTTCCTTCTCGTTTCCTATCAGATCAAGTTTTCGTAATATACCGTTATATCCAAAATTTAGGCACTTCCCTTACATATAGTGGACTAACTTAAAAACGGTTAACCGTATTCAGCTAACGAAAATCCAAAACTCGCCAACAATACTGTCTTTAAGCCGTGCCTACATTGGTTTTGAATTTGCCCAACACATTCAGTGATATCGTTGCAGTTTAAAAAAAAAAAACAAAAAAATTATTCAGGGGTGCCACAGAAATCACTACTGAAATGGGAAAACGCGCAGAGGATTTCCGCTTCAAAATTTCCGCCGTGCCACAGAATTCCGAGCGATTTCATTTTTCTTAGCATTGTCACAAACCAAATTCGATCTAAGGCTAGGGTTGACACCTTTCAAGATTCAATTCGAATAGAGTTCATTTTGCAGTTTTATTGATTTTATTATATCAAAATAATTGGTTTTTAATTTTTTTCTTTTATGATATAAAATAATTGATTTTTCAAAGCTGTACTTTTATAATTTCAAAGCAAAAAAAACATCCCATATTGTGCGAGTCAAACAAAACAATGTACTCGGCAACTCTAGCAGTTGTCTGGCAACTCTCCATGCATGCAGCAATTAGCTGCTCAAAAAATACACACACATCTGAATTTTAAGGTGAACTTAATTAAAATGCTTTACCGAGACTGTTGGCCATAGAAGAACTACGGAGGCAACATATTACAATACAAACTTTGCAGCACAGGCTTCTCAGATGCGCATCGGACTCGTTTTCGCGTTCAGACGATACGTATGTGGTTTTTGTGATTGTCTTCTCAAACTACTGCTAATTTAGTTCATTACAATTACCAGTTTTTGGTATAATGCTTTTATTTGTGCTGCCATGGGTGTGCACTAGGCTGGGCCAAAATTTGACCAAAATGGCAAGCGCATTTTAAGGGCCCCCCAAATCTGTTCTTTGTTATTCAATAAAATTATAAAATTTTTTTTTCAAATTTTTAGTTTAATGTTTGGGGGTTGCTACCACGGAAAGAAAATAAAAATTTTTGGGTAAATATACATTTAAAAAAAATTGAATTCGTCGGTTTTCTCAAATAATATTGAAACTTAAAAACTAGTTCATATTGATAATAAGGTATATTCATTTTTTTTTAGTTACTGTTAAAAAATTAACGATTGGTAAAAATCAAGAAGTTCAGCTGAGGTTGATATATTTAGTTAACTAGTTCGGAAAAACTTGTGCATGTTTTTACTGCCAATAACTGATTAATGACGATATGAATGGTATATGCAATAGATTTCACCAATTATCCACTCATTCAGCAAATAATTTTTTCTTTATTTCTTGATTAAATTTTTTTTTTAAATTCGGTAGCAACTTCTAAAAAATAAAAATAAAAACATGTAAATTACTATTAAATGCAAAATAACAAAACTAGTTTTGTTACCTTGGATTTAATATTAATTTACATGTTTTTATTTTTTTTTAGTGATATGTATATGGGCAGTTCCTATCTGGCGTTACGTTACATTCGTACGACAAAATGTTGAAAAAAATAGTCAAACAACTGAAATTTGGGAAAAAGATTATCCTCGTTGAATATAATTTGGTTAGACCTATATTATCCAGAAAAATGGCAATAATCGAGCGTACGGTTTTCAAGATATAAGACATAAAACAGAAGTGGTTTTCGAGGTTGGGGTACAAAATGGCAAAACTCTGAGAATTGGATAGGGCTATCTGTATAACATTTTTTGTGCTAATAAATGAAGTATTGAGAGTTAATTTTCAAACTTATTAAATGTAAAAACTTTTCCTGTTTTTTTGTTAAAAATCCGCGGAGGCATCTGGCGAACGTTACTGGCGTTACGTTACCAAATTCCGCGATTATAAAAGCCTAAAAATATACTGTTAGCCAAGGTTCGACCAACGTTCTGATAATGGTTTTAGGTAGTTTAATATATTAGAAAGACTTTAAGGAGAAACTTTTATCAAGAATCATCTTCTTCCTAGGAGATAATAGTAAGAGAAAACATGTCTATAAAAATACCAGAAAATACCAAAAACGTGAACTTTTGCTTATTTTCATCGGTTTAAGGATGAAAGTTAATGAAATTATATGTGAATAAAGTAAATTAAATTTCAATAAATTTAGAAAAAAATATCCGGAAAAAATTATATAGAAATCGGTTTTTATTGACTTTTTATTATTTTTGGCCTGGTGGACCTTTTGGCGGAACTGCCCATATGTACATACATATGTATGTTTTTATATAACTTATCTTAAGATTTTCTTCATCCATGCTGTTATACTTTGGTTCTTCCTTCTGACAGAAGGTCCCATTTTTCTGTCAGAGGGCCTCTTCGGCTGTTCCAGTGACGTATCCAGACGGATTTATGGGAGCGTAATTATTACCGTTATTTGCTATGGCAAAAAATTAGGGGGTTCCTTTTCCGAAACACAGCACATCTGTATCGTTTTAGTGTTAAAAGTATAATGCTTTATTCTGTGTTTGCTCTGCTTAAATAAGCCTGCTATATGTCGATCACTCTCGGCTTCCGTGACATGTCCAGTACAGTGGACATTGGTAACGGTGGACAGTCAACAGTAGGTGTGCCATCTTGGGGAAGTAGAGATGGTAACTCGCTCGTGCCCTCTGTCTAAGGGGAATCTGTTAGTGACCATTACTTTAACGACTATTTTGAGTTGCTACGCATCAAAGAATTTTATTCTTAAAAAAAACTGCAGCTAATGTACTGGCTCTTCTTAATTATATAATTCATGAATTTCACTCCCAACTTTCCCATGCCCATCTCTAGTTTAAACATTTCTTCGATGCCAGAATACGCTCTGAAAATGTATACTGTAATGTCCTATCTCAGGCTGAGGTATGCTTCAGTCTGTCCAGGGTCCTGAATTACAAGTTATTTATAATTCACAGGACTTTATTTGGGAAAAACCAGGAACTTTGCCAGCAACTGATAATGGGTTAGCGAAATCACAACACTATTGGTTACTTTACTTTTAACAGATATCTTTATTCTTCCGTATTATTATTCTACCCGATTATGTTATGTATTATGTTATTTTATTTGTTCTACGACGCGTCTGGTGGTTTGACTTGCGGGTTTGTTATTTACCTGACTGCTGTGGCTGATCGACTCTTCTACGATGGCTGATGGACTGCCTGCCTGCGATGACTGACGGTTACATGAGGCACTCCGCAGGGCGGAGTTATATCTCTTCTGCTGTGGAACCTTGTCCTCAACGACCGTCTTCTTCAGCTGGGGAGGAGCGGGTATGAGGTCACGGCCGATGCGGATGATCTAGAAGTACTGGTAACGGGTCAATTTCTGCCCACAATAAATGACCTTCTAGAATCTGAACTGGGCACCACCGCCAGCTGGGCACGCAAAAACGGTTTGGGGGTCAATCCTCAAAAAAACAGAACTGGTGCTGTTCTCACGAAGATATAAAATACCGAGATTCAAACTACCAGCAATTGGTAGAACGACACTCGAGCTATCAAGCGAAGCCAAGTATCTTGGTGTCATCCTTGACTTGAAACTCTACTGGAAGAGAAACACGGAGGAAAGGAAGAAAAAGGCAATGGCAGCTGTAGGAAGAATTTTGGACGAACATGGGGCTTACAGCCGCGCATCATCCACTGGATGTATACAGCGGTATAAAGACCCACCCTGACATACGGAGGCATGGTATGGTGGAAAGCGGCTAACACCAAATCCCACCTGTAGAACCTCAATAGAGTCCAACGGACGGCATGCCTTGGGGTCACCGGATCTCTCAAATCCACCCCACAGGCAGCTCTGGACACCATGCTAGGCCTGGAAGCGATAGACCTCCATCTTAAGTGCAAGGCTGAGATAAGTGCAGCTAGGCTACTAGCCGCGCAGTTCTTCAAGCCATCGCCTTATGGTCACGCCACAATACTCCGTGAGGAGGATGGTGGAACGACTTGGGGGAGTGACTACTGTGTTTCAGAGTTCTCATGGAAAAAAAACTTTAAAGGACACATTTCGGACAGGGAGAAATGGAAGAGTAACACGGCACTGGGGCAGAACGAGCTCTCCATTTTCACCGACGGGTCAAAGACGGCCGAAGGGACAGAAGCTGGAATCTTCTCTGAGGAAAAAGGAACCGAGATTCCAGGCCGAGATATATGCAGTATGGCCAGCGGCTAAGTTGGTATTCACCTTAGAGATACCTCCGAGGAACATAGCAATCTGCGTCGCCAGTCAGGCTGCCATCCAAACATAGCGGGCAACGAGAGTGCGGACGAGTGTGCCAGAGCTGGATGGGCCAAGCCAATGGCGGACGTAGTCAGCGACATACGGAGGCCACTACGAGTCATCATCTCGAAGATGATGGGCCGAGCATGAACGAGATCGGACAGGAGGTGGAACACCACACCCAACTGTGAGATCTCTCGCTTGCTTTGGCCCCACTTTGACCCTATACGCACCAAGACTCTCCTAAACTTCAGGAAGAGTCGGGTGCGATCACTGACGGGAGTTATAACGGAGCTCTATAAACCTAACCTAACCTAAGAGAAAAGTTAACAGACTGGCAAACTATCCTACCGTCATTATTTGCCTTTGAGATTTTACCCTTGAACTTTCCGAGTCAAAATGAGATTGAGTGGATGAATCTGTTCAAGCGCTGCACAGTGGTCGATTCTGCCAATCTGGCAGGCAATAATTAATAGCTCAAAAAATAAATGAGTAATATTTTTTTAAAAATATTTTTGTATTTTGGAATATAAATTAGCGAAGTATTTAAATCAATTTTTTGTATTTTAAAATGTTTTTATAAACATTAATTAATTTAATTAATTTAATTTTATATTAATACAAAAAAAGGTATAGGTCAAAAATAAAAAATGTTCTTTGTTTTTTTAAGTATTTTAAATTTCTGCGGTACACTTCACTCAGAAGCAAAATTACTTAATTTTTTTTTTATTCGCTAACAATCATTTTCTTTGAGTTCGTTTTTATCAATTACACTAGTCAACACGATTTTTCCTCAAGGAACAAAACCAACTTTTTATTAAAGATTTGGGGCTTAGAAATGGTTTGATGATATATTTTTTTTTTTCTATGGCAGAACTGATTTTTGAAGAATTTTTGAAGTCTGGTATTTTTTTGTAAAGCTTTTTTCAGAGGAAGCGCTTGTTTTTTTCACATAACTCTAGTATCTACCAAACCTAAAACATGGAAAAAATGAACAAAAAATACCTTTTGGAAGGTTGCGAGCCCAACTGCCCATTGGGAACAAAGGAACGCGATCAGGTACCAAATGTACAACCCTTGTTCGTTTGCTTTGTTCCCAATTGGCAGTTGGGCCCGCCGCCTTCAAAAAGGTATTTTTTGTTCATTTTTTCCATTTTTTAGGTTTAGTTAACGAATTTTAGCTCCAAAGTCTCTCCATAGATTTTAATGAGCGATACCTTAAACGACGCCAAATTAACGCAAATTAACGCACAAAAAAATAGAGGACACAAGATATAATTTTTTTTCGACTTTTCCTGAGTTTTTAAAGTCAAAATTTCGTAAAAAATACCGCACAAAAATCATAATTTTTGCATTTCAATGCTTTATATTTCCCAGACGGTAAGCTGTAATCACAAAGTGTTTGGGCTTAACTTCTAGCTGTTTTAATTATCTTTTCAAAATAGCAAAGTTCTTTGCAACCAGACGTAAGATACTAGAGCTATGTGAAAAAAACAAGCGCTACCTCTGAAAAAAGCTTTAAAAAAAATACCAGACTTCAAAAATTCTTCAAAAAAAAGTTCTGCCATAGAAAAACAACCATAATTCTTTAAAAAATTTTAAATCCCCATATCTATCAGAAAAAGTCGGTTTGGATACTTGAGGAAAAAAAAGTTCGATTTTGTCGAGTAGTGTTATCAATTAATTGAATGAAAACATGGATCCAACTCGCTTTAGCTTTTCTTTCTTACTCAGTTTCCATGCGCCATATCGAAAAAAGCGCGTTTTTCGAAACTGACATTTGTCCTATAAAATTAAATAAATTAACGTGTTGCACGTAGTTGCAATTTGTTTTAACACAGAAGATTCAAAAAAGACTGGTTTCATAAATAAAAAAAGATTGATGGCGGAAGGGGACGGATGTCAAAAGATCTATTCCATGCAATGTCGGGTATGATATTAATAGCACACTAAAGGAAATGTTAAGTTCTACAACGATTTACCACTAATACATGTAAGCACAGGACCAACACATATATTTTTTATTGAATACTTACTAACTATGATCAAAATGGATGGTAATTTTAATACAATTCACAAAATATTAATATTTATTTTGCTTTACAAAAAGACATAAAAAGGCGGTAAAATTTACTTAGGTATGGACATACAAGTTTTTTGCGATTCAACCGCGTGCAGGCACTGGACTATCGATACGAAAAATATATAAATATAGCAATAAATATCAGAGAGATGTTTACTTTCCAAAAAGTAAAAAAAATTAACAAGATGCGACATTTTAATTTTTGATTTATTGCCTGCCAGATAGGCAGAATCGACTACTGTGCGCTGTGCCGCACAGCGTCTATTTTTGCCGGTAAGAATTAATTAGAAACATTAACTGATATTGAAATTTTGAGTATGCAGCTTCCTTTGTTGTGCAATGTTACGCAATTCGAACCAAACATTTAACACTGTTACAGAAGCTTTAAATTTCTTTCAAAATTTCGATAAAATGTGAAACTTAACTTGAATTTTGTCTCATACTAAATATTAGTACGCGCATTTTTCATTTTCCCTTTTTTAATATAAACTAGCGAACCCGGCGAACTTCGTCTCGCTCCAGGTTAAACACCTTTAGATAAGCTTCAGAGTGATAATGGAACATAGATAGCTTAAATTTCAATATGATTATTTAAATGGAATGGAAATCAGCTCTTTATTGAAGAACCTTGTTATATACTAAATTTGTTGTTTGTTTATCAGTCGCAAGAACAAATAAAGCGGATGATTTGCCGACACGTGAACATGACACGTAAGACTGGACATGAGAAAAACAAGGACTTTCTAAGTTTAGACTACAAACAGTCAAGGATTGGCCTTGTGATTTATTAATCGTCATGGCGACAACTCTTTTTTTAGGAGATACAAAATTGAAGAAAAGCTGAAAAAAGTTTATAGAGCTAAAATAAGACCATGTTGATAAATAAAATGATTGTGTATCAAAACAACTGATTTTAATCCAGAAGGTCTTTAACTTATTGAACATTATGCATGCATTTGTACTCAATATCGTTCCATTATTTTTTATAACTGAATTAATACGGGATGGCAAGGAAGCACCTAGCGACTTTAGTTCGAATGGATTTATATTCGCTCATTATCGTTTTACTTCCATTTAAAGTTGCCTAGAAGTTACAAACTATCTCCTTTTCTTAACAATTTTTGCAGAGAGGATACCTTCAATGGGATTGAGGTTCGAAATTAAGAAGCTTTATGTCCAGCACCTACACTAAACATATTTTGTGTGCAGGCTCCTGGAATATCGCACGGAATCAGGTTTTTTTTATCAACGAATGGTCTAGTCTTGGCTCAGAGTTGTTTAGAACAACACATATCTAAATTCTTTTTTAAAATAAAGTCTGCATGAATTGTACAAAGTAACTCTCTGTTTGAATTCCTCAATCCGGAAATACACATTGTAGAAACGTAACAGCTTCGATCTCGAGACAATTCAGAATTACACTGAGGAAGTAACAGTACTCTAGAAAAAGAGATGTACACATGTACATACGTACATATGCATAGCTAGAGAAAGATATAGCCAACAGATATATACAACCGTGGTCTCGTGATATCAACCGTCAACCGTCAACGACTTCAGACGTATTTTTGTATAGCTCCGCCGTGAAAATCAATTAATCGCTATTAATCATAAATTAATTCGCGAAAAAGCGCTCGGGGTAGGCATGGGTACTAGTGAACGTGCTGCCCATGAATACCATCCAATCGTTTAATAAAGATTAATAGAAATAATAGAAAAGAACAAATGTCAACGTTTAAGAGCACCAGCTCGGTAAAGAGCACAAGCACTGTAACCAAAGCCAAAATGAGCCAAGCCCGGCAACAACAACAAGACGAGCGTCGGCTCTCGCAAGCAAAAAACAACGCGTACTTCTCTATACGCTCGCCAAAGGCAGCAGTATCAACAAAAACTGCATCACTGCAAGTGAACGAGGAGAGAGCACGCTCTCTCTCCCCTGCATTGCAAAGTGGGTCATGGAGTGCTCAGTGCCCATCCCCCGACTCGTACTGCCTAACCAGCGATTTGCTAAAATCGACAACAACTAGTACAATGCCCTCGCTCAAAACTGTGTCTTCGACCACAACAACGACAAAAACCACAACAACAACCATAGCAATTGCTCAGCGCCCGATCCTATCGACCCACTGCGACAAGCCCCACCTCTCCCAACCAATAAGTTAAAAAAATGCTAATTCAAACTGGGCTCGATCGCTATGTGCAAATCAAGAGAAAATTTAGCCCACAAAATGTGAAGAACAACAATGCAGCTAAAATAACTAAAATAACCGAGAGCACTGTGCCACATAAGGCACTAGCAAACAATAGATTTGCGATACTAAGTGTCCCAAATGAAGATGAGATCGCCCAAACACCCAGGGCCAAAAAATTAAGACCGCCACCTATTTATGTTCGACAGGCAAATTGTGCTGAACTGGTCAAAAAAATAACTGATACAATTGGCGCAAACACATTCTATGTCACGTCCATAAAACAGGGTAACATAAATTAAATAAAAATACGAGTCAATGACGAACAAAACTATTGATCAGTTGCGAAATACCTCGAAAATGAAAAAATGAATTACTAAACGAAATGGACCGGTCCAATGCACAAATTGCCAGGAATATGGACACACGAAAACCTATTGCACTCTGCGGTCAGTCTGCGTTGCCTGTGGTGATGTTCATCTCACTGAGGCCTGCCCCGTAAATAAGGAGGACCCATCTGCCAAAAAATTTAGCAACTGTGGGGGAAACCATACTGACAACTATAGAAGTTGTCCTGTCTATAAAGAATTGAAAAATCGCCTAAACCAACAAACAACTGCAGCTCGAAACCTGGTCGTCCGAAACTTAACATATATACCATCAACTACGACTCCAGGAGTTTCTTTTGCTCAGGCGTTAAGTTACAACAACGGGTCGTACGCCTCAGTCTCTAAGCCGACACTTCAACCAACCACAGCTGGAAATCAGATCCCAGAAATCTCTGCCCAACATACCCCTGCTAATCCATCCCAATTGCCTAGTGGAATTGAGTCAATGCTGGTAACTATAACTAACACAATTGTAGCAATACAACAAACGATGCAGGAGCTTATGCGCAACCAAAATCTCCTCCTGGAGCTCCTAATCAAACAGAAATCTGTCTAAATGGCCTGTCTGAATATATGTTTCAGGAATGCAAATGGCATTTCGCAGCACAAATGCGAGCTCTTACAGTTCCTCAACACGCTCACCTAACAAATAAAAATTATTTTCACCTCGATGGCTATAACTTCTATGCAACACATCATCCCGATGGTAAGGAAACATGGAGGTACTGGCGCTCTGATCAAGAATCGCATTAGGCATTATCCATTGCCTTCATTTGCTACACCTTATCTACAGAATTTGTAACATTCTTCGACCTACTAGGTGACCGATTTATAGCAGCTGTTGACTACAATGCCAAGCACACCCATTGGGGATCTAGACTTACCAACCCCAAAGAAAGACAACTATTTAACGCTATAATAACCCCACGAAACAAACTAGACTTTATCTCTCCGGGCAAGCCCACATATTGGCCCACAGATCCAAACAAGCAACCCGACTTGATTGATTTTGCTGTTACACGAAGGGTGCTGCAAGCTCAGATTAATGTAGATCTATCATCGGATCACTCGCCCATTCTACTTCACCTTTACGACCATCCACAGCTTTCGGAACGCCCACACTTTCTAACTTCTAGCAAAACAGATTGGCTCAAATACAGGAAGTACATAAGCTCTCATATTGATAGCTGCCCAAACATTAATTGTAAAGATGACATTGATAGGTCAGTCGAAGAATTGGTTTCCTCAATGTCACTGGCGGCAAAACACTCAACACCAATATTAGCATCTAATAAACTTTCCAACAGCAGTCGTATTTCTAGGCACATTGAAGTGCTGCTACGCGATAAAAGAAGGCTTCGCCGAGAGTGGCAAGCACACAGATCACCTGCATCGAAAGAGCGGCTAAAAATAGCCAACCACCTACTACGCAGAGCCCTAGAAGATGAAAAAAACCGAGCTCAAATATCCTATATGGAGCAACTCTCCCCAACTAGCAAACGATTCCCACTGTGGAAAGCAAAATCAGGCGTATGCCCACCAATCGAGAGTGAATCACCTTTGCGTACACAAACAGGAGAGTGGGCTCGCAGCAACAAAGAGAAGGCAAATACATTTGCCGTCCATCTAGAAAACGTCTTCAAACCGCACCCAGCAACGAATAGCTTTGTGCTCCCACCAACCAACAATCCCGAAGCTACTCCGCCTATCATATTCCAATCAGGAGAAGTTACAAGGGTCATTAAAGACCAAATCTCAAAGCAAAAGAAAGCTCCGGGCCACGATTTCATCTCTCCTAAAATGATCATAGAATTGCCGAGCTGTGCAGTGTATTTCCTTACTATGATATTCAACAGCATGATGAAATGGTGCTATTATCCTCAAGAATGGAGGAAATCAGTCATCACAATGATCCATAAAGCCGAAAAAGACAAGTCCAAGCCATCATCATATAGACCTATCAGCCTACTGCCTTGCCTATCAAAGATATTTGAAAAGCTGCTCTTGAATCGTATCAAACAACACCTACACATCAACGGTGCCATCCCGACTCAGCAATTTGGATTTCGCGAAAAACACGGAACCATTGAACAAGTAAACCGTATAACCTCTGAGATACGAAATGCATTTGAAAGACGGGAGTATTGCTCCGCTGTTTTTCTGGATGTCGCCCAGGCTTTCGACCGCGTTTGGTTAGATGGCTTAATCCACAAAATCAAAATATTACTTCCACAGAACATCCATGGAATATTGGAGTCATACCTACAACAAAAAAGTTTCGCAGTACGATGCAAAGAATTTCTCTCTGAATATCATCCAATTGAAGCTGGTGTACCGCAAGGCAGCGTGCTTGGACCGACACTGTATATCATAGTCACAGCAGATCTAGCGACAAACAGCCTAACAACAACTTTGACATTTGCTGATGATACTGCCACATTAAGTCGCTCAAAGTGCCCAAGAAGGGCCACGGATCACTTAACATCTCATCTGGTGGCCTTAGAAAAATGGCTAGCAGACTGGCGGATACATGTTAATGAGCAAAAGTGCAAGCATGTCACCTTCACGTTAAACAGACAAACTTGCCCTCCATTATGTCTGAACAATATCAACATTCCACAAACCACCGAAGTATCATACATTGGTGTTCATCTGGATAGAAGGCTTACTTGGCGTAAACACATCGAAGCGAAGAGAAATCTACTTAAATTTAAAGCTAGTAATCTACATTGGCTAATAAACACCCGTTCACCACTAAAACTGGAGTACAAAGTACTTTTGTACAATGCAGTTATCAAACCCATCTGGACATACGGCTCCGAGCTATGGGGAAATGCTTTCGTTAGTAATTTAGAAATAATCCAGAGAGCGCAATCGAAGATACTAAGAACGATCACTGGGGCACCATGGTACATACGGAATGAAAATATCCATAAAGACTTAAATGTAGGATCAGTTAAAGATGAAATTGCCAAAGTGAAAGCAAAGTACCAGGCCAAGCTTCAAGCCCATCCTAATAGACTTGCGCAGTCTTTAACTTGGCACACTAGCCATACACGACTCCGGCGAAGAGACCCACCCAGCAATAATACTTAGCTAGGGACGTACTCTAAGTAATTAAGTGTAATTAATTAATAAATATATTAGACTAAGATTTGTATACTTGTCGTAAGTCTCTAATAGGGAAGATCCGATAAATAAAATCCCGTAATAAAAAAAAAGAAGATATTTACAACAAAAGTACAAGTCCCTTTCGTTTGTTTTGCAGTTGGACTAGAAACCTACCGATCGCTATTTAACAGTAAAATGCGATTTTGAGATTTTTCTAAACGATACTTTAAACAAGGCTTAATTATCGCGCCTTTACGAATAAAATAAAGAAAATAGCAAAAAAAAAAAAACATTTTATGTCGCATTTATTTATACCGAGAAAAAAAATATAAACAAACTCATTTTACTTTTGAAAGCCTAATATTTCCCAACCGGTAAGCTTAAGCATCAAACTTGTAACAGACTTTTGAGAAACAAGTTTGTAAATATTTATGATTTTGATTAAAATGATTATGTTAGCGGTATTTCCAAATCCTAAAATTTATAAATGCCACTAGATTTGGTGCATTTAAAAACTTTATTGAAACTTTATTCATGGTGATATCTGAAGAGTGCGTGCACAAGAAGTCGGCAGTTGGTCTAGCTCGTATAGTCTCCGACATTAAGGCGTCTCGCAAAATCGACGAGCGAACTAACGGTCAAGAGTATCGGCAGCTACGGCCTTTAAAGGTAGACTTCCTCTTTAGTTCAAAATTTTCAAAACTAACTCACTATTTTAAAATTTAAACTAACCTATTTTTTTATCATTTTCTAGTCTTTGTTGACCGATGTGGACTCATTGCTATATGTTGACACAGATATATTATTTTTGTCACCAATATCTGACATATGGAACTTTTTTAAAAAATTACAATTTAATGACAGTCAAATTGCCGCGCTGACGCCTGAACTCCTGAATGAAAACATAGGTTGGTACAACCGATTTGCTCGTCATCCATTCTATGGCCGTCTTGGTGTGAACTCCGGCGTCATGTTAATGAATCTGACACGAATTCGGGAATTTCATTGGGAAAAACATATTTATCTATACACGAAGAGTACAAGCTTTTTATTATATGGGCCGATCAAGACATTATAAATATACTTTTTTATTATTATCCTGACAAACTATTCGTAATGCCACTAACCATACAGTATAATAATAATACAGTATAATAATAATATATAATAATCAAATAATGAATAAAATAAATAATAGCCACTGAAAAAAAATACAAAATAGAGGAGGGCCCCAGATTGATGGTTGCCCAGGGCCCGGTTGAGGGTTGATCCGGCCCTGAATAGGTCGCTACATCACATCAGCCCTCAAAACAAAACGAAAAACCAATTCAACCAAATTCAACAATTGTAGAGCCCACACACAAGCACAGTATGTGTGAATACATGGCACACACATATTTACGTAACCTGGAAATGAAACTCAAAACTGTTTCGGAAAATAAGAATTGATACAAAATTTCGTCGTGTCTGTTTACACACATACATTTGCAATTCTCAGCTTGCTTTCGCATCTCGTCATGAATCGAACATGTCGAAAAAATGCCGAACGTCTCAGGCCCACGACCCGAACGCCTCAGCACCACAGCCGAATGGTCCCAGCACCCTAGCCGAAGACCTGGGGGTGCTGGGACAGAAACCTCAGCTGCGCCCCTTTCGTTGTATGAACTGGCACATCTATACACTGTATGGTTAGTGTCTATAGTCTCTGAGAACTAAGCGACAAACAGACAGGCATGGCCATATGGACTCGGTTATTAATTCTGATCAAGAATAAGATATATATTTATGAGGTCGGAAACATTTCCCTTTTTGCGTTGCACACATCAACTTTTACCAAAAATCGAATATACCCCTTAACTCTTCGAGAAAGCGGCTGGCAGGATGTTTGAATTTGAGAATTAAAAGCCCACGCGTGCCCTCTGTCTAAGGGGCATCTGTTAGCGACCATTACTTTAACGATTAGTTTGAGTTGCTGGGCATCAAAGAATTTTATTCGTAAAAAAACTGCAGCTAATGTACTGGCTTTTCTTAATTATATTATTAATGAATTTCACTCCCAACTTACCCATGCCGATCTCTAGTTTAAACATTTCTTCGATGCCAGAATACGCTTTGAAAGTGTATACACATTGTTTGGGTTTTATTTGGTTCGCAATCAGTGTATAAAGTGGTTTGGTCTACTTCGAAAAAATTACGAACAGATTTGCATTTCTGAATAAATTTGGATGGGAACAAGCGTTGTTTTACCGAACAACGTACCAACCTACTAGACAATTTGGGACCATTTGCCTTTTAAATGCGTGGGTTTTTTTTAGAATGTGATGTTAACAATGTATTACTTTTTTTTAAAGTAACAATTTAAAACCTTTACAAATTTTTTGGGTAGCAAGGAAACTCCGCATTCAGCATTTATGTATATGTAACATTAACAAGACATAGATTGGCGATATATATATATTCAATTATATTTAGAGTTTATTTCAAAGTTCTTTTTCCTTTAACGACAACCGGCCTGTTTCGAATATAGCCCTTGCGACGTTTTGAGTTCTGGAAATATATGTTCATTATTATATTGCGAACTGTGTATATTGATTACAATACCTTTCTAGATATAAAGTTTGTTGGGGGAAAAACTCTTTCGTTGCCTTTCAAAGAAGGTCTATTGAACTCGAACGGTTTTTTAACCCTGTATATACGCACTAACCAGTGCTCTGTGGTATAAGCTTCTTCGAGATAAGTCAAATCGAAATCTTTATTTCCGATCACTGCATTCCGAGTTCGGTCATATCCAGAAGGTCCTCTGTAAAATAAATGTATTTAAATATATTTAATTATATTACAAACTAATAGTAAGCTAGTGGGAACGTTATAAGATCAACGACACTCAGATTCATACAACTCTTTTTTAAATATCATATTGATGCTCCAAAACAAACATTTTATTATAACGTTGGGGGCGTCGGCGATATTTTGAAATACACTTGTAGCAGTGTGATATTACATGAGTCTGGAAACAAAATTTGGTTGCTCTAGCTCTTATAGTCTCTGAGATCTAGGCGATCATCGAGACGGACAGACGGACGGACGGACAGACGCACATGGCTATATCGACTCGGCTATTGATTCTGATCAAGAATATATATACTTTGAGGTCGGAAACCTTTCCCTCTCTGCGGCGCACACATCCACTTTTACCTCAAATCTAATATACACTGGCCCTCGCTTAACACGAACTCGATCTTACACGGCTATAAAATTGTTCCCTTTTCCTTTTTAACACGATCAAAATCTCGTTCTTACACGATTGCAAAGTATCGAAATTAATTTTTTTTGTCAATTATGCCTAAGTGTGTTTTTGTACGCATGGGGAGTGCGTAGTAAAGGGGAAAGCTCTCATGGATCTGTCAGATGTAATAACAGTAGGCAACAGACTTTAATTTTTGTTCCGCAGTGAATAAAAAAAAAATTGTTCAAATTGTATATAATGGCTCTGGCGGATGAGTCAAAACGGGTAATTTTACCTTTCCACCAGCGCAGCATATGCCGGGGGTCTCCGATTGAAACTGCAATGCATTACAATGGTGGCATACGACAGACAATGAACCGATATTAACGCAGCTAAGATTTTGGTAGGCTATTCCGCAATCGTATTCGAAAGCAGCACGATTCAAGTCTACTGGTCGAATTTGAGGTTGTTATTGTTCAGCGCGAACCTGTGCAATATGGTCACGTCTTCATTCATTTACTTCTGCACGTTCTTGAGTTAAATTATTAAGGACATTCCGATTACTTATTTCACGACGTGTACGTCGTCCAAGGTTTGATCGTCTAATAGCAGGCATATTATAACTCAATTGATGAATAATATCTCGAGTTTAGAACTCATCTTCAACTACGACAATTTCCTCTTCAACTACTTCCATAAAAGAAACAAATACAAAATCCCTTTTTTCGCGATCGAAGGTTGTTTTTCCAAAATATTCTTTCGTCTAAACATTCTCTTGACAAATACGAAAATTTTAGCTTTTTCATTACAACCAAATGTAAGATACTTGAGTTATGTGAAAAAACAAAGAGCTACCTCTGAAAAAGGCATATAAAAAAATACCAGTTGTTAAAAAAAATCAAACTCTAAGCACCAAATCTTTCAGAAAAAGTTGGTTTGGTTCCTTGAAGAAAAATCATGTTGGGTATATATACATCTATACATCTTTTACATATCTTAGGTATAAATGAAAACCTGCTTTGAAATCTTAGCTACGGGAAATGTCGATATTTACCTGTAGTCGAGTTTTAGCTCTCCAAATCTGTAGTAGCTTAGCTTATACATAAGGCAGTTAAGCAAGGCTGGAGCCCCTTCAGAATCTACCCTAAATTCACCTCTGTCAGTAAAGTAATCGCTTTCTTTAATGTCTTTGGGGTGCTCTCCTTCGGCAATTCTAACCATCCAAAGGAACTTGTTTATATCATCACCAGAGTACCCAATGACGCCACCAAATATTACAAGAACGTAATCCACATCCAGAGATGTCATGATTTCATACGACTTCTCTTCAGTAGAAGACATAGCCTTTCCGACTAGTGCTATGTGACTGTTATTCCAGGTATTGTTGTCCACTAAAGTTGTTCTGTTTGCCATGCCCGCTATCTGGTACCCATAATCCCACCATGACATTATTCTTGCATCATCAGCCGTATTTTGGGAAAGCCAGTAATATGCCTCCCGAAAATCATCCAAGATATTCCGAGATCTGAAAATAACGGTAAAAATTTAATAAGTAACTACTTGCTTTAATAAAAACTACCAAATATTCATAGTCATAACAATATCAGACTGGACTAATAAGAGAGGGATAGCGCGGCCCCAACCAAACGACAACGATTCTTGCATGTGCAATGTTCAGAACAAATTTTAACATTTTGAGCTGACACCCACACACTAAAGAAAGTTGTGCCGCGCCGTGACACCCCATTCCCGGCGAATAGTATAGTCGGTCGTCGGAGGAACTGATTATCGACGAGAAGAGGGCCCCTCATCCAGTACTTTTGAGGGCCGGCGGATACCGTCTTTCACACCAACACTGCAAAAGGAAGGATTCTAATCTTGTAGCATCTTCATACCTTTTCTCAGCATACCTGCTTTATGAGGCAGATGTTTCCCCTCGGACAACCTGAACTTCTTCAACAGAATCAGTGGGTATGTTATACACAGTCATTATATCAAACAGTGACTGCCTGTGATGATCGAAATGTGGCAGGTCAGTTCTTCTTCAAGGACTATTATCGGATGTAACGGTGGGGATCCGTGATCCCATACAAGGAGTATACGATAGTATAAGTTTATTGTTTGTATCATAAGTTTCTTCCTATAAATTATAGTATTACAGCCGCATGAAGCGGGCGTTCAGTTGCCACTAAAGGGTTCCGAGAGCACGATAGAACCACGCGAGCTTTACGGCAGGCGGCGCTGATAGCGGAGAGATGAAAAAGAAGTGAGGAGCAATAAAGGCGAGAAAGAAGCGAAATACCGAGCGAACATTTTCGGGGTTCTTATTTGTGACAGGTAAATCTGGAGGGCGAGACTGTGAGTGTGCTCGCCTGTAGCAGACTTATTTGTATGTATGTATGGTTAAGAAAATCCCTGGTATTTACGAAATTGTACTGGGTATAATGACTAACGTCACAAAATATATTACTTACCCATCTTGACTGTTGTGAAAAGCAAGCACTATGGACGGGCTGGAGTACGCATTGCTCGTTACCCAGGTGCAGTGCACAGCAAACATCATTAACAGCATTAAAACTGCCAAAATGACAATACTCTTTAAATTTGAACTTATTCCATTATCCTGTGGTGAATCGGGTTTAGTTCGGTGTTTTAATTTTCCAGCCTAAAAATTAGAGTTTGAATAATTTGAATACGCAGGATTAACACGTCATAATACATCTTCGACCAAACTAAAATATTTTAATTATATTTACACGAATTTAAGATTCACTTGTACCAAAGACAATATAATACTAAGATGCGTAACACTCATGCATTACAATTTCCATATGCAAACAAATTTTTGGCAAGCGACGTCGCGCCATCTCGCTCGCACAAATTTTAGAGCGTAAAAATCTAAAAATAGAATGCGCTTGCATGTGTGTGCAAATCAAACAATTTTCGAGACGAAAAGATTTTTTGAAACTTCTTCGAAAATCTTTTTGCGATTGACTGATTGGAAAATAAAAAAACCATATATAATATAATACATAGATATAATTTCTTAATATTATGTATTTATTTGTATCTTAAATAACTGAATAAGGTCGTAAAATGATTTTACACCAACCCTAATTTAGGTAAATACATTTAAGGAAGATCAGAAATTTTGACAAAACCGGGCTTCACGAAAATTTTCTTACTGACACGACGCACGTAGAATACCCTAATGACAGTTGCATGTATGTAGTCATGTATAAAATATTTTATCATTATATTCATACATTCTCTATTTAAAAAATAACTGCACATAAAATATATACAAACTATATACGATTTTTTATATTGGACTGCAAGCGTCTATGAAAAGTGTCATACCACTATACAAAAATTCTTAAGTGAAGGGTATATTTCGACAGCGCTGTAAAAAATCGTATGCATGCAGGCAGATCTAGAGTGCTTGAGAATACGTGTGCACACATACTGTCGTCGGCTGCCGCTGTATGCATACAAGAGTGCGGCTGGCTATAGAGCGCTCTCTCTACGGCTTTTGAGTAGAGAATTTTAAGAATATTTGATTCAAAAATCCTTAAGCCACCAATTTAGGTGACAATTTAGTCTGATAAACAATAATGAACTGGTGACTCAACTATAACATTTCAAGTATAGATAGATTGAATTGAAAATGTTTCGGATTCCTTAAGCATGACAAATTTCTGCGACTTCTTTGTAATTTTCCATTAGCCAACGATTGAATACACTAGCCGAAATCATTTTTCTGCTTCGAACCA